ATCTCTGAATTTTCCATTCTAGCCAGCTGATCGCCTGTAATGCCTGTACTGCTGACTCCTGGCCTTTCCTCTGTGCCATTGCCAGCCTTGTGGAGCACCCTTTCATGTTGTGTCTTTCCAAATACCTCCCAGTCTTCAACGCCCAAACTGACTTCTTTATTATTTTATTTTATTTTCATTTTATTTCATTTTTGTTTTTATTTTATTTTTTAATTTACTTAATTTATATCCAAGTTAGTTAGCATATAGTGCAACAGTGATTTCAGAAGTAGATTCCTTAATGCCCCTTACCCATGTAGCCCATCTCCCCCAACCCCTCCAGCAACCCTCTGTTCTCTATATTTAAGAGTCTCTTATGTTTTGTCCCCCTCCCTGTTATATTATTTTTGCTTCCCTTCCTTTGTGTTCATCTGTTTAGTATCTTAAATTCCTCATATGAGTGAGGTCATATATTTGTCTTTCTCTAATTTCACATAGCATAATACCCTCCATTTCCATCCATGTAGCTGCAGATAGCAAGATTTCATTCTTTTTGATTGTCGAGTAATACTCCAGTGTGTGTGTGTGTGTGTGTGTGTGTGTGTGTGTGTGTGTGTGTGTGTGTATACCACATCTTTATCCATTCATCCATCAATGGACATTTGGGCTGTTTCCATACTTTGGCTATTGTTGATAGTGTTGCCATAAACATGGGGGTGCATGTGTCCCTTTGAAACAGCACACCTGTGTCCCGTGGATAAATGCCTAGTAGTACAATTGCTGGGTCATAGGGTAGTTCTATTTTTAATTTTTTGAGGAACCTCCGTACTGTTTTCCAGAGTGGCTGCACCAGTTTGCATTCCCACCAGCAGTGCAAAAGAGATCCTCTTTCTGCGCATCCTCACCAACATCTGTTGTTGCCTGAGTTGTTAATGTTAGCCATTCTGACAAGTGTGAGGTGGTATCTCCCTGATGAGTGATGTTGGGCATTTTTTCATGTGTCTGTTGGCCATCTGGATGTCTTTGGAGAAATATCTATTCATGTCTTTTGCCCATTTCTTTACTGGATTATTTGGTTTTTGGGTGTTGAATTTGATAAGTTCTTTATAGATTTTGGGTACGAACCCTTTATCTGGTATGTTTGCAAATATCTTCTCCCATTCTCTTGGTTGCCTTTTAGTTTTGCTGATTGTTTCCTTCCCTGTGCAGAAGCTTTTTATTTTGATGTGGTCCCCGTAATTCCCAAATCGACTTCTTATATGAGGGCTTTTCAACGTCAGCCCTCTCGTCTCAGCATTTACTCTGTAAAAATAGCACAGAAGGTTGTGTTTTACTTCCTCAGGTTATTGTTCATCTGTCATTTCCTTGTTTTTCTTTGTGCTTTTGGATCATTTTGTGTGCTGGGTCAGAAGGCCATAGTCTAGGCCCCTACTGGGCTGACACATTGTCCTGACCACAGTAGGGGATCAGGAAAGGGTAGTATCATGGCCAAAGCCGTTAGGCACTCTCACGTGTCTTTGACCTGAGTGGGAGACTGACAGTGTTTTCTGGGATACGAATGTACCTATGAAGGAGTGGCCAGGCCCTAAATTGATGTGTCAGGAAAGCTGCCCTGGAAGAAAGGCCAGATACGGGCCACAGAGGGCTAATGTTAGCTCAAAGGTCAGGTGCCTAAGACCGTGCTTTTTTGTTGAAAGGTTTGTCCGATATGTGCCTCGATGCCTTGGGGAGACCCCAACTACCGCAGCGCCAACTTCATAGAGCACATCCAGCGCCGGCACCAGTTTTCTTACGACACTTTTGTGGTGAGTCTGGAGCCCGGGGCCTGATTTCTCCCCTGGGGTAACAGCACAACAACATCCCTTCTCTTACCTGGAAAGCTGTGGGTCCCATTGTTGAGTTTTGTCATTGATGTGATGGGCTCCCTGGAACAGCAGCTGTGTGGTCTATGTTCGTGAGCCCACTGAGTGGTCAGAGCCTTTGTTGTGTCTACAGTGAGACATGATGTAAGATTGCTCCTGGGTTTTCTTCCAGAAGTTTTTCCCACTTTCTTTTGGTATGTGTAGTTTCTACCCGTTCCAGCACCTGGCTTGGGATCCTGAAGCTCAGATGCCCATGGGGACCAGGCAGGTAATGGAAATGGTGTCCCTGAGGATTTGCAAGCCAGACGGCACCTGACACATGTCATGCTGCCATCAGCTCCCGCTGACAGCAGTGTGTAGAGACACAGGCACGGCATTGCCAGTTTTCTTCCGCCTGTCCCAACCCCAAGAAGCTGGAAAGGCGGAATTCCATATGAAGTGTCACATGTTTTTTAGAGCATCTTAGGTCAAAACACATCCACTTGCCAAAAGTAGTCATCCGGTTTGTGTCCTTTCCCTAGTGCTGAGTGGTTTGAAGGGACCCACTGTTGTGTTAGCATTCTAGTAATAGATAAATTTGGCCAAACCCTTGAAGTAGAACGTTTGTTTGTTTGTTTTTATATATATATATGTATATATATATATGTATGCTGTGAGGATTTTAGAACAGCATTCAGTCTTAATGGCTGTGTTTCAGGACCCAAGAAGGAAAGCATGACTCTTTCCTAAGTTGTCCTAAGAATGTGTATTCTCAGTCTAAGAGAGTGTCTGAGATTCAGACTTCCCAATAACTGTCCTTTTTGTTACTGCCCTGAAGACAGATGAAATTCCCAAGTTGTAATCAAGTAGGTAATTTGGCCTCGTTGAATTAAAAGTCCAGTTTCACTGCAGTGAAAGTCCTCCCATGTGAGCACTCGGTCTGTGCCAGGCCCCGCGCACAGGTGCCCTGTGGTCCTCACAGTCCCCGTCTAAGGGAGCCATCAGTGTTCTCGTCCTCAGGAGGAGGCGGCAGAGGCCCAGAGAGGTCGAGCAGTTTGCTCAGAGCTCCGTGGCTGGCACCAGAAACAAGCTGGGATCCATGCTGGGCCAGGCGTCTCCGGAGCCTGTCACTGGGCTGCCCCGCTTCCCCCATTGAACGAGAGTCTTTGCGGCTGTGACAGGTGCCGGGGCCAAGGGTCTGTGTTTCGCCCTCAGGATTACGATGTTGATGAAGACGACATGATGAATCAGGTGTTGCAGCGCTCCATCATCGATCAGTGAGCGGTCTCTACTGTCCAGCTCGTGCTCCAGAGCGTCCGTTGTGTGTTGGGCGTGAAACCTGTGACTCCTACACCTTCAATGTACAACAGACCTGGAAGTGAGCTGTGGTCACTTCTGACAGGGAAAAAGGTCCCCAGGTCAGAGCCGTCCCTTCCTTTGGGGTCTCCCCTACTGTTAACTCTGTCATGTGTCTGGTCTCTGATTCCCCTAGCTGCTCCCTGGAGTTTCTGCTTCCTCTTCTGGAAGAGAATCCAGGTTCTCCACCTACCCTTGTTTCACTCTCGTTCCTCCCCTTTAGTATGCATCTCTCAGGTCCTCTGAGCCAGCCAGGACCTGTTCTGGGTCACGAATAGCACAAACGAGACCAGCACCTCCCTCCTCTCCTTGTCCCTGAGGTGAGGTGTGTGAGCCCTGGCAAACGTGTGTCCCATCGGTGGTGGAGCTCCTTCTGTGCTGCGGAGGTTCTGTTAGTTGGTCCTTAGCAGCAGCTGCCGGAAGCTGGAGTGTCCCTCCTGGGAAACATTGCAAAAGGCCTGTTGGGGTGAATGTTCTGGGTTTAGCATGATCTGATGCTGGAAGTTTTGATTAGTTCTATTTTCCTACCGCTCCTGCACACCCTTAGAGTTAACTGGTTCAGTCTTAAATGCCTGCATGGTGCCTTTTTAGGATAAGGTGTAACCACATCTTTTTAGTGACAATAAGTGTTTCTAGGTTAGGAAAGTTAAACTCCATTTATCCATAAGTGGGGAGGAGGGTCAGCTAAGAGCAGTGCGAGGGCCGTAGCTTTTTGGTTGTGATTTTCGAACTAACATGGTATTTTCAAAGGACTGCGTCATGTTTGCCTCTCTGTTTGAGAACCTGCTTACATTCTTGTCCTTGAGGCACGAGAAGGAGTCCTCACATGAATAAGAAGGAAGAGGTTTGGGGCTCCAGTAGATACTCTAGTTATTTTATCTTTTCTTTGGTAACTTAGATTAAACTGAGTATCTGAGTATTGCTTTTCTATCATAAATGGTTTCCTTATGAAACTGATTTCCATTTGTAAATCAGTGTGTGAAACCTGCCTTGTAAAGCAGAGGTCATGGGAAATCTAGTCTCACAGCCTGTTGTCTCCTTTTGATAAGACACACTGTTAAAAAGGCAAACACAGCTCTTGTGGAAACTGCTGGAAACTAGCTCAAGAAACTTGAAGTTCACCATGTTTTGCGAATATTAATAAATACAAGGCTGAGAGTGGTGTCAGTCTAATCTGTAGGAACATAACCAAAAGACGTGGATTTAGGTTCATTTTTTCGTGTCAGACCTCTCTACTCTGAACATGGGAAGTTTTTCTGGTCAGTGGCTGAGGTTGTAAGTGACAGGGAGCTTTGGGGCCTGTGAGCACCGCTGTTGTGGGCCTCTCCCTGCCTGCCAGTGGGGGCTGCAGACGCCTAGTGACCAGCAAAGACAGGGCCCTTTGCTAGGCAAAATAGTCTTTTCTAATGTGATGTTGCTTTGGAGGGCCCAAATGTTAAGGTCAGCGCCTTCACTGTGATTTCTGGAAAAAATTCACTTAGCCCTCCCTGACTTGAGAGGTCTGAATCTGGAGGGAAATTTGACAGAGCCTTCATTTGAGGAAACGAATGACTGTCCATCTCATTAGTGGTACCAAGAAACTGATTTCCTTGTATTAAGTGCACTTCATGTATTTCTAATAAGATGACTTTCCAGAAAGTGAAATTTGTTATGTTCTGGCTTTTAAAAGGTGAAATATAAATAAATTTCATAATTTATCCGACTGGCAAGCTGTAATGCCTGTTTTCATTAACCACTTTTTTTTTTTTTTTTTTAAATTTCAAACGTTTATTTTGAGAGAGGGAGAGAGAAAACCCCAAGCAGGCCCTGCTGTCAGCACAGAGTCTGACACAGGGCTTGACCCCATGAACCGCGAGATCCTGACCTGAGACGAAATCAAGAGTCGGACACCGAGGACTGAGCTACCCAGGTGTCCCTCATTAACCACCTTTTGCTGAGGTTTGGGCCTGAGGAGACTCCAGAAGATTGTTGCTCTTTCTAAGGAGACATTCTTGTTTGTCGCAAGTCCAATCTGGCTCTGATCTTTGTTCTGACGCTTTAATGGTGGGGCCTCACTGAGCTTGTCCTCTCTTGGAAATGAACACAACCCCTACTTGTCACAGCTGGGAGTTCTGGTGAGGCAAGAAGTGATCGGGCTCCGTGAAGTAAGGCTTTATTTAGACACGTGGCTTCAGCTCCATTCCAATGACTTAGCATCCCCGAGATGTTGTAGTAAAGGGTTTTGTGCATTAAGATCTGAGGTCATGGCATGTTTGTTCTGCATGCTGCCACTGGCTGTGGGACGTCTGGCAAATATTTTCCCTTTTTAAATGTTTCCCTACAATAAAATAGGAGTGATGTTTCTGGCTTCTAGTTTCTTTATAAAGTAGGAGATATTTGCTATTTATTAACTAGCTGCCAATTACTAATCCCTTATCAATTTATAATTCTACAGTTAATATGTGCCTAGCACAGTGCTGACACATAAAAGATGCCTAGTAAATAACATATATGCCTGAATATAAGGAAGTCATTCATTTTTCCGGTAAGGACATTTTTAAAGTTTTTTGGCCAAATTGACTATAAGAGCGTTTATCACTGCAAATGAACTATTCAAATGTCTGCTTATTTTTAATTACATATATTTAAAACAAATGTAGAAGTGTTGCTTTTTTTTATTTAAAAAAAAATTTTTTTTTTAATGTTTTATTTTTTGAGACAGAGCATGAGCAGGGGAGGGGCAGAGAGAGAGGGAGGCACAGAATCGGAAGCAGGCTCCAGGCTCTGAGCTGTCAGCACAGAGCCCGACGTGGGGCTCGAACTCACGAACCGTGAGATCATGACCTGAGCCGAAGTCGGACGCTCCACCGACTGAGCCACCCAGGTGCCCCTAGAAGTGTTGCTTTTATCTAGTCGTACATTTCCAGGAATAGCTGCATCTTAAAGTTCTTGGGATTCAAGGAGCAATGTACACAAAACCCTGGCAGGATGCCTGCTGCATTGTGGGCACTCAGCTCCTGGGCTTCTCTCCCTGGGCTTGTCCGTTCCGATCCCAATCCCATGGGAACCTTAAATTTAATACGGCCCAAACTGAGTTCAGCATCTCCAGCTTCCTCCCTCCATGCCCCTCCCTCTTTATCATTCCCTCTTGCTATGGACAGTACCAGCAATCCATGAGTCTTCTTACCCCTGCCTTTATACCCCCACCTTTGGCTAAAGCAGTTAAGTCCTGGACTCCGGTTACACATCAGGAAATCACAAGGTCTAATGCTACACACGGCGGCAGTCCTTGAGTCCTTTGTCATCCCAGACAGATCAAGAAAATGGCATTTGAACCGAGACCTGAATGAAACAAGGGACAAGCCTGCTGACCAGGTAGGGAAGAGCGTTCCTGGAGGGAATGTTCAGAGGCCCTAACGGGAGCCTGTGTGTTACACTGGGGCAGGGCAGTGAGGGGGCAGTCATGGGAGCATGTCAACAGGCGGCTGCCGGAGGGGGGCAGATCTGGGGCTTTTCTCTGGGTGAGATGGGAGCATTGGAGGTTCGAGTGACAAGACCTGGTCTAGGTTTAAAGAAGATCCTCCTCCTGACTTCTTCGACTAGACAAAATATTTTTACTTTTGATTTAGGTATGTAAGTAAGTGAGAATCGGCAGGCATTTGAGTACTTCATCTGCAATGGTGAAAGCTCTCATGTTCAGTTTGGCCAGAAAACTTTTTAAAATTTCCTTATTGGGGAAATGGATGATGTCTTCCTATTCAGGCATACACAGTATTGACTGAACACCTACCATGTGCCAGCACTGTGCCAGGCACTGGGGATTCACATATAATCAAATGTATAATTACAGACTGGTGAGTGTTCATGGTAAGGGATTAATAAATGGGAGCCATTTAATAAATAGTAAACATTCCTATTTTGTGAAGAAACCAGAAGCCAGAAGTCCACAGGCTCACAGTATCATCTAGACCTTTTCTCCTTTCTCCACCTGGGCCTTCTCCCTCCCACTCGAGTGCGTCGAGTGTCGCCTGCTGTTGGCTCTCTTCCTAAATAGCATCTGAACGTGATTGGGTTTTTCCCACCATCTACTTACTGGCCCCTACTCTCCTCCAAGTTCATACCCAGACACCTTGAGCTGGTTGTGGGGGGGGGGGGGGGGGG